TGAAGCAGTGTTCTTAACCCCTACAAAATGCTCCCACCCTGTGGCTGTGGCAGCTTCCTGTGGCCTTTCTGATAGATGGTTCCTCCTCTGGTCATATATTTGCTTCCATTTTCTCTCTGCCAATACGGCTGATAACCCTGGAAGGGAACTAACCTGTCATTCTCAGAATAAGACCTGAGACTTGTGCAGAGCGGCCCACCATCTGGTTCCTGCCTGCACCGCAGGCATTGTAGCAAATGGGGAAACCAAGTCATGAGAATGCTTCCCATGAGCTCCCCACGGAGGGAGCTGGGCTTAGCAGTCTCATGTGGGAGTGCCTCGCTCCTGCCTCAGTGTGGGTTGATAGGTTTTCTTTTGTTGTGCTTTGTTTTGTATTTTGATCTTATCAAGGGATTGCCATCAACTCTCACAGCTATTCTGTGGAGTAACAACTCCCAAAGCCCAATCTTTTATCAGCCTTCTCAGCTGTGCGGAGAGTCAGAAACGATCTGAAGGATCACCTGGCTTGCTCTTTTCACACATAAGGAAACTGAGTCCCAGAGAGGCGAAGTGGTTTGTCTAAGGGAACAGGACTGCTCAATGGTGCATCTGAGACTAGAATCTGGCTCCCCTGGGTTCTCATTCTGTGCTCCTGTTGCCAAGGCAATCAGACACTGCACTTCTGGCCTTCTCCCTTCCACTCTGGGGCCTTGGCTCTGATAGCCAAGGAAATCTGAGGTGAAGTTTTTCTCCTTTGTCTTGTGCTATTTATTTGCTTTTTAATTTACTTTTTATGGTGCCACTTGATTATTCTGTTTTCAATTTGATTGATTGGCTGGTGGTGTTTCTAACTTATTGCACTGAATAAGTAATAATACACATTTAGGTAAAAAAAAAAAAGGGGGCGCCTGGGTGGCTCAGTCCGTTAAGTTGTCTGCCTTCGGCTCAGGTCGTGATCCTGGTGTTCTGGGATCGAGTCCCAAATTCCGAATCGGGGAGCCTACTTCTCCCTCTGCCTCTCTCTCTGTCTCTCATGGATAAATAAAATCTTAAAAAGAAAAAAAAGAAAGAAAACGTAAGCAGTACAGTGAATAGGAATTCTTCTCCCCACACTAACTCCTCTTCCAGAGGCAACTGCTATTACTACTGTCCCAGGGATATCTCAATTAATAATCTATTTTTAGAAAATAATCTATTTTAAAAAATCTATTTTATTATTTTTTTTATTCTGAAATAATCTCTACATGGGGTGCCTGGGTGGCTCAGTGTGTTGAGCCTCTGCGTTCAGTTCAGGTCATGATCTCAGGGATCTCTGCTCAGCAGAGAGCCTGCTTCCCCCTCTCTCTCTGCCTGCTTACTTGTGATCTCTCTGTCAAATAAATAAATAAAATCTTAAAAAAAAAAAAAGAATCTCTACACCCAACTTTGGGCTTGAACTTACAACCCGGAGTTCAAGAGTCGCACAGTCTTCTGACTGAGCCATCCAAGTGCCCCAATAATCTATTTCAGAGACTATTCTATATTAGCACACCTAGTGCTAACTCATTATTTTGAATGGCTGCATGGGGTTACCTTATATTGGTAACTACTCCCCAAATGATGGACACGTAGATTGCTTCCAGTTTCTGCCCTGCCAACAGTACTATACCTCCTTGCACTGCAGGTCTTTAGATATCTGCACAAGCATCTCTGTCAGAGGAACTCCCAGAATTTCTGAGTGAAATTGTATGTACCTTATAAATTTTGATATTCTTCAAATGGACACCAAAGCTGTGGTGCTAACTTATACTCCCAGTAGCAGTGTGTTAAGAGTTCTGCTTCACTCCATGTTTGCCTAAGCTTGTAAAATATTGCCAATACTGTTTTTAATTTCTGTTTTTCTTTTGACGAGTGATGTAGTCAGCTTGGGCTGCTATAGCAAATTACCATACATTGGGCGGCTTATGCAACAGAAATTCCTCACAGCTCTGGAGGCTGAGAAGTCCAAGATCAAGGGGCCGGCAGATTTGGTTCTTGGTAAGAACCCTCTTCCTCATTATGTCTTCACATGGCAGAGATAGATACAGAAAGAGAGAGGGAGCAATCTCTCTCATGTCTCTTTATGAGGGCACTAACCCCATCATGAGGGCTCCATCCCCAAAATCTCTGTCTTCCAAATATCATCCCATGGGGGATTAGGGGTTCAACATATGAATTTTAGGGTGATACATTTAGTCCATATACATTTAGTCCAACGATGCTCAGAGTTTGAACATCTTTTTACATATTTAAAAGCCATATGTCTTTTCTATTCTCTAACTGTGCATGTCCTTTGCTCATTTTTCTATTAGGATGCTCTGGAAGACTTTTTAAAAAGTTAAACCTACATTTGTTGGAGAATGAGAATTTGGTGACTGACTGCATAGGATGAAGTCCTCTTGGGATGGAAATACACCTGGATGGGATGGACCATCTCACTGACTGCTCAGGCCAAAGTCACACTGTACATGTTGATAAAGTGCTTTGGCTGGCTTGCTTTCTTTCTTTTTTCTAAGTGTTTTCATCAAGAGTCTCTTAATAGAAATGCACAACACTGGCCTGAGGTCAGTGGGTCAGCAGTTAGGATCTCTTTTTGACAGATTAGTAAATGAGGTTCAGAGGATTAAACTATGTTGGTCCAGGTAACACAACTGGCGTGCCAAAGCCCATGGCAGGCATCTGCTCAAAGAGCCTTTGGGATTCAGGTTGGGCTCCGGAGACAGATAGACTAGGGTTTGAGTGGCTCACTGACTGGAGATCTTAGAGATGTCACTGAATTTCTGAGCCTTGCCTTATTACAGTCTAAGGATAATAATAGTATCTTCTTTATGTGGTTGTTCTGAGGATTATATGAAATAATGTATGTACATCCATTATAATGTAGTGTCAGTGGGTTATAACGTAGTGCTGGCCAGGATAATAATGCATGCTATAACATGCTGCTCATGCTTTTGCTTTAGCATTCTTTGTGGTAGGTCCAAAGCTCAAGTCACAGGTCTAAGACTTCTCTCTTGTATTACATGCCATCTTTGCGATGTTTTCTACTCTTCCTCCCCTTTAGTCCAATCCATGTGAAAGAGCTTTCTCTTCCATGTTTGGGGGCTTGTTAGTGAAGAAGTTGTTCTCCTCCCCACCTTTGCAGGGAGCAAACGCCTTGAGGGTTTGGAGAGGGCCTCCTCTTCAGACTGGCACTCCCAGACCATATGCTCTCAGAAAGTGTTCATGATTGAAAGAATGAATGAGGGATGGTCTGCTCCCAACACAGCCCTAGTACAGGGCCTGGCAGTTACATTCCGGCACATGGCAAGAGGTGAGGAACATTTACGCACTGAATGAATAAATACAGTGCCTAGGAGTAAGGGCTCAAAAGGCATTTCTGGATTCGTTGCATAGCGCCTGGTACACAGAAAGCGATTAAGTGGCAGTCGTGGATATCCCTGGGAGAGGCTTATAAAACCCAGTGCAAAAGCATGGCTTCACTGTGCAGGGGTTCGAATTCCGCTGCCTCTTCTTCCCAGCGAGGCGACCTCGGGCAAGTGACTTAATCTCTTTGTGCTTCAGTTTTCTTATCTGCAAAACGCGGACGACGGAGTGCGATCAAGCCGAAGCACTCCCGGGAGCACTGGGACCGGCAGCCGTGTCCACAGCAGAGCTCCGCCACGCCAGCCGGCCTGCGCCGCCAGGGGCACACGCCGTGGAGGTGCCCGAGCCCTCCGCCGCGGTCGCCACGGGCGTTCCCGGGGCCCGCGGTCGCGCCCCGCAGAGATCTGTACCCCCAAGGGGGCGGGGCACGGCGCCCACGCCGGGGCAGCCCACTGCAGCCTGGGGTCAGCCGGCCGCCGTCCGCCGGGAAGCCGTGCCGCCCGTACTTCTTTCTCTCACTCTCGCTCTTCCTCCCTCTCCTGGCCGGAGGCTCCAGCCGCGCTCGGCTCAGCAGCGCCGCCCGCGAGCTGCCCGCGAGCCGCGGCCGCCGCTGTCGCCGCCGCCGCCGCGGCTGCCGCTCCGGGCCCCTCCCCCGCCCACCCCTCGCCCCCCCGCGCGGCCGGCGCCCGTCACGTGACGCGGCGCCAGCCAATGGCGGGCCGAGCCGCGGTCGGCGGCCGCCATTGCTGTCAGAGCGAGCGAGCCCGGGGAGGGAGGAGAAGCGAGGCTGACTGGGGAGGAGGGGGGGGGTGGGGGAGGAAGAGGAAGGAGGGGACGTCGCTCGGCTGCCGGGGTCGCCCGCTGGCTTCGTCCGCACCCCCCCCTTCGCGAGTTCGCGCTCCGCGGCGGCGGCGGCTCCGAGGCGGCGGCGGCGGCGGCTCTGGGGCTCGCCTCCCCTCACGCGCCGGCGGGGGCCGAGGGGGAGTCGGTGGCTGGAGATAAACAAGGCGGCGGCGGCGGCGGCGGCGGCGGCGGCGGCGGCTGAGGAACAGGGAAGGCGGAGGCGGCGACCGGCCCGCAGCGCCGGCCCGGGAGGCAGCGGCGGCCCTGAGAGGCGGGGAGGGCGCCGGGCCGCGCGGACAGCGCCCCCCGCCGCCGCCGGAGCCGCGGGAGCCGCCGCCGCCGCCCGAGCAGGAAGGAGCCGCGCGGCCGCCGCGA